AGTGTATTCAAAAGCAGTCTATAACTTTCATGTCACACAAGAGCAGGAACAAGGAATATAAAAACCTCCACAAATAAAAACAACTGTATAGAAACTGATTTATCAATGTGAACTAATCAGGCATCAGTAGTTAAAAATAATTTTTATTATTTTATTCCTGACTTCACCCACTGATCACTTTAAAAAACTGTTTAAGCTTGAGTTTTAGATTTCTTCATTTGTTTAAAGAATATAATAGGAACAAATAAAGTAAATTGATTTTTCTAAAAAAGAAATTCTTTCCATACCTGATTTTAAACATTGCCATTTCTTATTTTACTCTTAAAAATAGTAAATTCCTTAAGTGCTTATAAACTTTTGTAGTTGGAACAACCTAAAACAATTTTCTTGGTTAAAACAACAAATTCCCTGAAAGGGGGTACTCAGCATATTTTTATTTTTTAACTTGAAGAAACAGAATTTAATTTTGGCAACATGTTTACATAACCTAAAATAATGATTGTACATCCCAAAGTTAAAAAACAACTAAAACTCATGCAAGAATTAATGTATGCATATTTCCATAAAAATGGAAGGAAATATATGTTCATTTTATGTTAGTCCTAAAAAGAAAATTTTAAAGGTAACAACTCTAATTTTCCAATCAATTCATTAAGACAGCAGTTTATAAAGATATCTACTGAATGCCTACTAATGTGTCAGACACTGCCCTGGCTACTAGAGGGGCAGTGATGGGACAGTGATGGGGAGAAAAAGTGCTTATTCTCATAGAGTGTATAGTTTATTGTGAGAAACAGACATTAGTCAAATAATCATAGAAATGAACGTGAAAGACAAATGTAACCACTGCAAAGTTAGCATGCTTGGTGCTTCATGGGTTTATTATATTCTAACTGGCCCGGTTAAGGATTCAAGGATAACTTCACTAGAATTTAAGGTCCACAAAGCAAGGTTCATTTTGCGTTTCAGCCAGCGATGCACTCGTTCATCGAATGCCGAGAACAGGACTGACACGACTAGACGTCCAGCAGACGGCTGCTGACTGGTCTGAACTAAGATCTACAGGTCGGTGAAGAGCAGACGGAAAGCATCTCAGGCAGGATATGGCAAATGCTAAGTCCTTCACAGGAAGGAGCAGCATGGCGTCTAAGAGCAGAAAAGGAGAAAAATGGGAAGAGCCCTGGGCGCAGGATGAATTCTAACATCCCAACAAAGCCCGAGAACGCGGAGGAGTCGTGAAGGCGTTTTTTTTGGCAGAAAGGGGGCGCGCTTCTAAAGATTACTCTGGAAGCTGTGCGAGGACAGACCGGAAAGAGGGAAGGTCAGTCAGCAGGCGACTGTGCAGGTGACAGATGCTGAGAATGCAGTGACAGGAGTGGAGCGCACAGAAATAGATACCAGATATCCTAAGAAGGCAAAATTCACGAAACTGGCCCCAGATTAGTTACAAGGGGTTTCGAGGATGAAGGGGAGATTTCTGGCCAGTGCTCCACACCAAGGCAGGAAACACAGAAGCAGCAGGTCCACACATGCTGGGAGGTATCTCTCTGTAATGCATACAAGGTCCTGAACCAGGGATTGAGCAAACCATAGCTAGCTGGAGGACAAAATCCAGGTCCTTGAGAGCCAAAAGCTAAGAAAGACTACATTAAAAAAAATTTTTTTTGTAAGAAAAAAGGAAAAACAAAATCTGTGAAAGAGACCTGTGGTTCACAAAACCTAAAACGGTTACTCTCTGACTTTTCATAGAAGTCTGCGGACCCCTGTCCCACGCTACCTGCCACCAGTCCCCTCTCAGCTACCTTTTCCTACTCCTCGCACTCCAGGCATGCTAGGCCAACAGCTGTGCCTGGAAGGTTCCGGCTTTCCCCTTGTCTGTAACAGTCTAACTCAACGTCCACATGATATACTCACTTAAGTCTAGCTAAATTTTAGCACCTTCAGCACCTTATTTCAAGCTGTAATCCCCCCAATCCTCTCCTCCTCCTAATCCTGCTTTCTTTTCTTCCATAGAACTCATTACTGTCTACTGTGTAACATTTCCTCCACTAGAATGTAAACTCCATAAGAGCAGGGATTTTTCTTCATTTTGTTCATTGCTGTATGCCGAAAGCCTAGAACAGTGTGCTGTTTGCACAGTAGTCATGTCATCGGTATTTCTTGAATGAATGGATTAATGCATGAGTGACTCTTGGGCAGTTGGATCAACAGCTCCAGAGCTCAAAGGAGATCTAAAATGGAGACACACATTTGTGTCCCATGTATGTAGATAAGAATAGAATCCATGGGCTTGTACAGAATTTAGCCTGGGGAAAAAATGTAGAGGGAGAAGAGAAGAGGGCCTAGGAGTGAATTTTGAGGAAGCCCAACATTAATGGCCAGGTGAAATAAACCACAAAGAGCCAACAGTGATAGAACCAGGAGAGCGTTTTAAAAAGAAAGTTGAAAGTTGCTGACAGTTCAAGTGAGAGACTGACTGAAAAATGTCCACTGTATTTAGCAACACAGAGGTTATTGGAGACTTCGGTAAGAACCAACTCAGTCAATTCCCTGAGACTGACTACACAGGGAGAAAAGAAGTCAGGCATGGTTTGGGCCTGCGTGAACCTTAGAGTTTAGTGTGGAATACACACATTAAATTAGGTAATTACAAATATGATGAATACCATTGGAAGGAGAGCCACAGGGTCCTAAAAGAACATATAACAGAGTTAATTAATTTAATCTAATCTGAGAAGCTGAACAAAGTAATTAAACTATCATTTGTTTTTATCATCCTGAAAGAAGATATGTCTTTGGTATTTCAGGAGCTAGAAACATTCAAATTAAGTTGGCTATATATAACTTATACTCCCGTATGACTGATGTTCTGTCTTCCATACACTAGGAAAGAACCTCCAGCTTTTACAATTCTTTTAAACTGCCTCTAAGCACATTTTTTCAACCTTGAAAAGCAAAACTGAATGCTACAAAACATGCAACCATCCATTCACAAAGTACACTCTTTAAAAAGCCAGCACTTGATTCCAAGAGTGTGGTAAAACTGTTCAAATTGATTTGCCTGTATTTGGATTAACCAGAAGCCAAACATATCCTATAACATAACCACATATATTATAGTCTAATGTAAAATCACAGTCCCAATAGGAGTTCTATTTACTACAATGGAGCTTCAAATATATAGGAATTGCATTATACTTGCATAATTGGCAGAATTTCTTGAATAAATGTTCAAAGTACAGGGAGAAAAAACATAGGTGTACAACTCTGGGTTTCAGAGACATATATTTAGAAATTTGAAAATGTCAGTAATTTGAAATTGAAAAGAGTTAGAATAGTAACTTTAAGCAAAGTGGTCCAGGGAGACAAACAAGTTTAGGAGTATTTCCTAAAGATACTGTGAAATTATTTATTTATTTATTAAAAGGATTATGGTCCTGGGGAATTTCTGGGTGCTTATAAACGACATCTTTGAAACCCCAAATAGTATTAGTAATAGTCTCCTAGTTGGAAAGAACTCCTGTCATTTTAGACACCTCATTTCTAAATATATTTCATCAGTCAAATCTTTCCTTTTAAACATCTTCAGCCCTTTTCTTTCCTATTTCCAAAATGATTCATCCTGGTTCAGTTTTTTCACCTAACTTCTTCAGAACACTGATTTGGGAGTCAAAGACCTTGGTTCAAATTCCAATTCCACCACCACTCAACAGCAATTAGCCAAGTGACTTTGGGAAAACTGTTCAACCCACCTAAGCTCTTCTTTAAAATCAGAATACTTCCCACAACTGCCCATTTCCAGGTCTCTAGCCTCTACCTTTACAACCCTCTCCACTACCCAGTCACCCTTCTCTTTAAGCCCACACAAGTCCTAGCCCAAAGACCACTTTCTCTGTGAAACCTAACAAGCTCTTCATCTTCCATATGCCTTAATAGTGCCTCGCCAGAGTTTTTTCCTTACAATTCACTTGGCAGTAAGTCATATACCATCTTGTGATCTCCCATCCACTGCTGACTCAAACTAAATGAAATTTTTTATTTTAGCTCTAGGTAGGCCCCCTGAGGACACAGGCTGCATTTCATTTCTTTAGAAATCATTTCCCAAGAACTTACCCTGGGCCCCGCACTAGGGATGCAAAGATTAAAACAAGGGGTCCTTATTCTTGAGGAAGAAGTGAAGTGGGGAAGACATAATTTAACTACAAATGAGTGTAAGAAATGCTATACAGAATTAGGCAACGTTACCAAAGGCAGGCAGTGGGAGAGGACCCTGCCCCTGGGACTCACCCTTGACCTTGAGCTTTATCTTGGGGGTTTAATAGTAAGAGGGGGAAAGAGAATGAAGGAAGGGGGAGCAGAAAAGAGAGGAAAAGGGGAAAGGCACTCCAGCCCTGGCACCGTGCCTTACAGGAAGGAGATAATAAATAATCCAATGCGGTGGAAAACTCAAATCACTAATAGCTGACTCTGAAGAGTACTAAATAATGTATTTATCTTTAGCAGAAGACTTACCTTTCTAACACGCCCTGTTTAAACTTTGGGGGAAGAAATTAGGGGATAGCAAGAGTTGCAATGAGAGAATGTGGATAGAGGGCTGGCCGAGTGACAGGACACCAGGGCCAGAAGTGAGGACAAGGGGGTACGACTGGGGACAGGTTACCAGGCCCGTGTGTCCACAACCGCAGGGGTAGCGAGGGGACATCCTCTCCGAGTGCACCGGGTCCTCCCTATTGGGGCCCAGCGCATCCTCCACTAGGTCAATACTGGGGGAACCGAGGGGGAACGTTTCCCAAGCTGCAATAACCGGGACGAAAAACTGTAATCCACCTGAGCCGTGCAGGAAGATGAGAGAGGCGCTGTGCCTTCCAGCCGGCGACACCACGCAGCGCTGCAGGCGAACTGACCCCGACGCAGCCGCCATCACTCTGATCCAGACCGGAGCTTCCCGGGCCCCGCCCCGACGCCGTCTCGCGGGCGCGCGCACGTACGCGCGCGGGGCGTGCCTGGAGACGCGCATGCGCGGCGGGGCTGCGCTGGCCCGCCTCTGGGCCAACTCTGAGGTAGTTCCAGCTGAGCTGAGAGTTTGGCTTTTCTAAGAGAGGTATTCGGGTGACGCCTTCGGTAAGGCTCAAGGTTATACTTACTTGCTGTCGGATTTGAAACTGCAGTCCTAAAATTCAGGATTGCTTTTTTATTTGGAGAAATATTGTTGTTATTACGTTTAAAATTTAACAGATATCACCACGTTTTACCTCCTCTTTTGACACTTACCCGGGAGATTTGTAGCTTTTCATACACAAGATAAAAACAGCCATGTGACAATAATTCTGCATAATTTTAAAAAATAGTTTGCTGTCATTTAAAGAGGTACCTTTTTATACCTATTAAGATGGCTATTATTGGAAAAAACGTAAAATTAATGGTGGCGGTGAGGTGGAGAAATTGGAACCCTTGAAGATTGCCGAGGGGACTGTAAGATGGTGCAGCCGCAGTGGGAAAGTCTGGCGGTTCCTCACGAAGTTACAGAATTACCATGTAATCTAGCAATTCTGCTTCTAGATGCATAAAGAAAAGAAACGAAAGCAGGGACTCAGTTACGTGTACACTAATATTTTTAGTGGTATTATTCACAATTGCTGAAATGCGGAAACAACCCAAATGCCCATGGATGGATGAATGGAAAATAAACAGTGGGCTATTATTCAGCCTTAAAATGGAATGAAATTCTGATACTTGCTGCAACACAGATGGACCTTGAAGACAAGCCAGACACGAAAGACAGATATTTTATCATTCCACCTACGTGAGGTAATCTAGAATTAGCAAATTCATAAAGACAGAGTAGAGTAGTGGTTACCAAGGGCTTAGGGGAGCCTGGTATGGGAAGATACAGTTTAATGCGTAAAGAGTTTCTGTTTGGGATGATAAAAAATTTCTGGAAATAGTGATGTTGTTTACACAACATTGTGAATATACATAATGCCACTGAAACGTTAAAATGGTAAAAAATTTGTTGTGTATGTTTTATCACAATTTAAAAAATACAGAAAAAAAGAATTACTTTCTATATAAAGACCTGACTGTAGACATATTTTAATACTGAGGGCTATAGCCCCAGCAAGTGGCTCATTCCTGGTAAAATTCAACAAACAACCCAGCAGAACTTAAAGTGCCATTAAACACCAGCTTTCCATTCTTTGCAGTGTGTGCCATATTTAAGCAACTAGAACTTACCTTTTATTTGTTCAATTTGTTTATTTGTTATTTTACTTCTTGTTTGTTTATACTTTTATTTTTAATTGAAAATTTAATAAACTTACCATTTTTACAATTTGATAATTGTTACAAAAAAAGAAAAAGGGACCAAATTGAATAATCAGCTTATAAAGGAGGAACTAGCTCATAAAACTTAATCCCCTTACTCCCAGGTGACTAGACTATCATCACAGGTCAGTTGCCAAGATAAACTCTATGCTATCACAGTATTATACCAGTGCTGTCTATGGGAATGGCCCTACATACCATTAGTTAACCATAGCAAAAAAGAACTCTGAGTCATTTCACTAAAGCCTCTAGATCTTCAGCTGCAGGTACTGAGGATGAAATCGTAAGAAAAGACAGTCTGGGGTGGGCTGAGCTCTGATAGCCCATTCTCAAGAAATACTTCTGTTTCTAGATCCGCCTTCCTCATGTCAATTCTTGATAACTGCCAAGAGCCAAGTGAGAAGAAGGCAGTGATGTAGGAAGAGAGACCACTGGAGATAGGCCAGGTAAGGCTTTGAGTTCTGCTACTCTTAGAACTCCATTTACTGCCAGAAAAAAACCTTTTCGTGTACTACCTCATGCTTTTGAGACAGCAAAAAATCAGAAACATAATTATTTAACAGTTATGATGATTACTATGGATGATGATGATGATGATGATAATAATAATAATAATAATAATAATAATAATAAATAAATAAATCAGCTGAAACTCACTGGGACTTACTAGGTGTCAAGCACTGTCATAAATAAATTCCCATGAAACTCTGTGTTAACATTATCCGTTTTTGCCAATGAAGCTCAGAGTATGGCTTAAGGTCATACTGCCAGTCATTGTAGAGCCTGGACTCACATGTTGGTCCTTTCTGATTCTAGAGTCCAGGTCCTTTACTGTTACACACATTTACACATTAGCTCACAAAAATTAGGGTATGTTCCAACTATTTTATTTTAGGGGAAAAAATCCTTCTGCGATTTAGGCTATAGCCCTTTAGAGTCTCTATTGATTAGGAGTTCCTGTGTTTCTTCAGAGTTCCCAAGATTCCTGGTGTTAATTCTTGGGTCGCTCCTCCACCTTGAATCAGCACCAATTTGAGCAGGTAAACAGGCAGGAACTGAAGATTGGGATTCTGAGTTTCACCTAGAACTTGAGCCTTTCCAGATTTAGGATCATTATTGGAATAAGCCAGATTCTTCCAAACCTAATCAAAGTACGCCTTTATTCCCAGTGATTTCCATGCTTAGGTATTGTTGCTATTCCTTTCATCTTTATTTATAGAACAAACAGAAGGTTTTAGATTACTATATTTAGAAATGCCATCTGGTAGGCAAACTATTGAACAAAAATGTTTTGTTCCTTTCATGTAACTTTGTTTTGTATCTTTCAACATGAGTTCCTTTCATGTGTTACTTTGAAATGTAATCAGGTTTCAGGCTGGTTGTTTACTTCTTTTATGGTGGATCTTTTGCCCTTTTGAACTTGGGGTAAGAGTCATCTCTGGAAGATTTTTATTCATACATTCTTTTACTCTTTGTGTGTCTCTTAATTTTTTTGTTGTTCTTAACTCATTTCCTTTCAGCCAGTCTAGATGCCCATTGTTGGTGCACTCCCTTTTGGTAACTGAAGTGTCTAAACTAAGAAAAGCAAGTAAACAAAATAAAAGCAAAAATACCTCTCCTTGTTTTTTTTTTTTTTTTTTTTTGCAGTGTTTGAATTCCTATTGGGGGCTAAAGATATAAATGGTATCAGAGTTTAGTTTGCTATGCCACTATGAGTTTAGAAATCCTCTAGGGCGCACTTGCTGGCTTTAAGGAAATGACTGAAAGATTAGCCGTGTAGAGTTGTGTATTTGGTACTTTCAGATGATTACAATTAAATGAAATCACTTTATCCATGCAGACAATACACAATTATAAATGTGTTGTTTCCCTCAGTCTGGAGTGTCAAATCTTACCCCCTCCATTGGTTGCTTTTTATCTGTTGCATTACTCAAAGGGACAGAGAAACACATATTACATAAATAATACATACACGTTGGATTAAATGTCTCGGTATTATGTAATTGTAAACATTTTATAAATTAACAAAGTAGGTTCTTTTATACCTTCCCCTTGTTCATTTATGAAAGGAAAACTAGAAAAAAGTTAAAGGTCCTGAATTCTTAGAAAGCAGTAAAGCTAAACTCTTTAGAAAGGAATAGTGATATGAAGTTATAAACTTTAGTATTGTTATTTCCTTGGTTCTAGGGACCTGAAGTTTTTTCAGCTCAATCCTTCTATATACAGGTGTGATGAGGCCTCCTACTTCAACCCACTACTCCTACTAGATTTGCATGGCGTAGATGGGGTCTTTTTAGAGCAGATGGGTCACCTGGGGCATCGTGAGCTAGGCTGAGGCAGTATGGGGGGTGGGAGATGACACATGAGTTACTCAGATACAGACTAAATATAATCTTGGAGCATGGGCAGTTATCACTCCTGCTGGACTATTAACAGTCAAAGTTGTGGGGAGGATAAATTAGGAGTTTGGGATTAGCAGATACAAACTACTAAATGTAAAATAGATAAACAACAAGGTCTTACTGTATAGCAGAAGGAACTATATACAATAGCTTGTAATAACCTATAATGAAAAAGAATATGAACAAGAATATATATATATGTGTGTATATATATATATATATAAATGTATAACTGAATCACTATGCTATACACCAGAAACTAACACATCATGGTAAATCAACTATATACAATTAAAGCAAAACAAAACAAGACAGAAAACAACAACAAAAACCAAACAGTCAGAGTGATTCACATCAAAGCAATGTGCACACCCTCAGTGAGGACAGTGGAAATTTCTCCCTTAAACATAGGCTGGGTGGTCAGTGTATGTGACTGGACACTGGAAAAATGTGCTTTGCATTGTCACATGAATCTTCTGTAGGAAAAGTTTTTCTCCCTTTTGAGCACGTCCCATGACCAGTTCTCGCATTCCCAGGCTACTTTCTGGAAAAACTTCTTAGTCAACTTCCTCTAAGTCCTCACATTAGTCTTGGGACTCTCCATGGATCTTTGTGTTGTCTGGGTACTTCAGACCCGATTCTTTGGTCTTCTATAACAGATCTTGATGGTTCTTCAAATTCAGAGCAAGAACTATTAGCAACTCTTAACCAGATGAGGGCAGGGAAGACTCAATCTCTCAGCCTTCCCATGGGCTGAGGACTGAGGGCTGAGGGCTGAGGGCTGAGGGCTTACTTTTTGTATTACATTGCATACATCTAATAAAAAAAAAGTAAGAAAAGCTGAAAGAGTAATTTCTCTATCAATACAGTCTGAACAATTCTATCCTGTCACACTCATATAAGAGAAGATGAAACATGTATGTAATTATAACAGCATACAATGAGCAGAATATTGAAATGATAGTGAGGAGTTACTGTTTCAGCTTCAGGAGTAATAAGCTGTATAACATTAAACAGGCCATCAAGTCTCTTTGGACCAGTTTCTCAAATTCCCTGATTCTAGGATCATGAAAGACTTTCACTGTGTTACACTTCCCATTTTTATAAATATGCCTCTGACGTTTAATTATGCTCAAAACTCTTAATTATACTGCACAAACTCCTTTTTAGTAGTATCAGAAATATTAGCAAATATAATTCTCCTCCTTTCTTGTCTGGATGATTTTAGCACCTTTACTTTTTCTTTCTACTCTTTTCCTGGTGGTTTCGAAAAAACAAGGAAAAGGAGAGTTAAAAAGAATCTTTTAAAAAGATAATCAGATCATATGAAATCAATCTTTGCAATTTAAAAAGTAAGTGCAATTTATTTTGAAGTGAACTATTTTTTTCTTTCCAACTATTTATCTATGTCATTGACTGATGAAAATATTTTATGTAAAGGTATTATAAAGGATTTTCTATTGTCATACCTGTATTTTATTAAGAAAATAAAGAAACTTTGTAAAATTCTCCTTAATTCATATTCTAAAGGCAAATACTATTCCTTTGTCTATTATCCTTTCAGAGAATTTTTTATTATAAAATGCTGGCAAAATGTAAGTCTTTATGAGAAAATTTTCTTTGTATAGGTTAAAGATAGATGCAAGTGTATATATTCAAAATAATTGAAAGCAAGGTCTTGAAGAGATGTTTGCATTATGTTTATAGTAGTACTATTCAAAATAGTCAAGAGATGGAAGCAGCCCAAATGTCCATCAAGAGATGAATGGCTAGACAAAGTGTGTTATGCAATACAATAGAATATTATTCAGTCTTAAAAAGGAAGGAAATCCTGCCACATGCTACAATATGAGTGAACCTTGAGGACATTATGCTAAGTGAAATAAGCCAGTCACAAGAGGACACATACTGTAGGATTCCACTTCTATTAGGTACTTAGAGTAGTCAAATTCATAGAGACAAATGTAGAACGGTGGTTACCAGGGTCTGGGGCAAGGCAGAAAAGAAGAGTTGTTGTTTAATGAGTGCAGGGTTTCAGATTTAAAAGGAAAAAAAATTCTTTAGATCTGTTTCAGAACAATGTGACTATACTTGTTGCTGAACCCAAGCTCTCACTGCTCGCCACACTACAGGCCAATAAATCAAGAGATGAGTCGTTGGGACAAGGGCTAGTGACTTTAATCAGAACGCCATCTCACTGAGGACATGGTGAACTAGTGTCCCAAAGAACCATCTTCCCTGAGTTAGAATTCAGGTTTCTCTTATACTAAAAGGGGAAAGGGTGTGGTTATTTGTTGCAAACTTCTTGATGTCGGAATCCTTTGTTCCTGCAGCTGTCCATGCAGGTCAGGCCATGATTTTCCTGCAAAGCTCCAACAAGACAAATGCTATTGTGTGTTCTGCAAATTTTTATCTTTATATGAATGGAAAAGTGTTGTACCCTTAAATATCAGACAAAGCCTTGAGAATGGGCTATCCTGAATATTTCAGGCTATAGACAGCATTCTTAATTTGTAAGAAAAGCAATAGAATACAACGATTAAAGTAAAAGAAATAGATCCAATATGGAGTCAGATTTGTTCTTCCCTATTACACACTTAACACTTCTGAACTGTACACTTAACAGTGTTTAAGATGGTAAATTTTATGTTATGTGCTTCCTATCACAATAGGTAAATGGATACAAGTGATAAAATAGGAGTTTAAAGCAGTGATTATTCAAAATATAAGTGAAAAGAAATGTCTTTAGTAAATAGTGTTGTTAATCCACAGACCCACACATTATTCCAAACTAATTTAGACTAAATTGTCGGTGTTCTGGTAGAAGGTGCAGTGGCTTTGAAATATGAATCCTAAGTTTAAATACTTTTCCTGCTAGCCCTGTGATCTAATAAACTGTAGTTTCCTTAAGTGCAAGACCTATTTTACTTATTTTTGTATCTTCCTGAAATACCTAGAACAGTATTGTAAATATTAATTGTTAGAATTGAATTACAATTTTGAATTATATTTTGAAGAAACTGCATAAAGGAAGAGTGAAACTA